GGAAAAACAGCCACGGTCTCTGGTCTGAGAGCCCAGAAGTATGTATTAAGACACACAGAAGATGGCAGGAAGAGAAATAATAGAAAGCCAAGGAAAGAGGAGCTGTTCCTGGGAGAGCAGCAGCTTTCTGGGCTGTCTAGTGGGTTTTGTTCCGCAGGCTTCTTGTTTTTCCTTACGGCTTAACCGCTGGAGTAAGGTAACTCCAGAGTGCAGATTAGTTATAGATGGGTAATGAAAAACAACAAAAAGGAAAAAAAAAAGAGAGTCTGCCAAGAAACTTCATCCAGCAGCACCTCTCTGGTGTTGTCAATTACAAAGACCTTTAATTTTTGTAGAAATTCTAACTGAAAACCTGTTTAGCATTCTGAAGCAGTTTTGTTTTGATTTGAAGAGACACAAATTTGAAAAAAGCACCAGATTGCCAGAAAATCACTGTTTCAGGCACCTGGAGAGGAAATAAAACTCAAAAGAAGAGTATTTGCAGACTTTTGCTGCACTTCATGATTATGCTTCAGGTATGGTGCTTAAAGTGTCTTTAAAATCAGTGGAGAAAAAAAATCACCTATAGTCATGCTAATATCATGGTCTGTGTGCACCTGCTGTAGAAATAAGTGCTTGAAGGTAAATTACCTTTAAAAGATATATAAGAACATAGAGATGAACACTCAACATTCAAGGCCCTGCATCACAGGAGCCCCAGGTAATGAACTGCTGTAGATCATAAAGCAAGCAAGATAGAAAACAGATTAAGGGATGTGAAACACATTTCACCTTTCTTAAGTCTGTTTTTTAATGGTCTGGAAAATTTGGAGAGTGCATCAAACAGGAATAATTTGCAAACATCATAGCAGGTCCTTACTGAGCTTGGAGATTTGGAAGAACTTCAGAGGGACCAGGCAGAGGTGGAGACTAAATTCACACTGACTGGCTAAGAGGATCCAGAAGTGGAGGTTTGCAAGCTGAACTTTCTGGCATTTGATTCAACAGATAGAGGCAAGAGAATGGGGACCATGAACTCCCGACCCCTCGGCACACAGTGCCTTGAGAAGAAGGCTTTTCGAGTTAGGCTAACTGCACTACTGTTTGACCATCAAGCCCAGTGGGAACCATCTCCTGGCAAACGCATCAGAAGAAATCTACCTTGGCAAACACATCAGCAGGATATTTTTCTTGAATTAAAGCTGGTGCTGAATTCAGGAGCTCTTGCCTCAGAAGTTAGACTCCTCAGGGTCTCCTCTAACTATGGCCATGATCAACAATGCATATACTTCACCACCAAAACACATTATGAGGGGGTGTGAAGCTTTGCAAGTAATGAGGTTTGTTGTCCAGCTACAGATTCCAGGCTGCAGCTTTCAATTTAAGTGACCATCTTAGATTCAGAGGAGGCACTCTTTGGCTAAACAGAAATATCCTAGGTGTGAGCACAAGGCACGGAAATAGAGAAGAGTCTTACAAGACCTTCTTTCCTCAGGGCAAGGCAGTAACTCGCAGATCCAGAAAAATGCTTTTCTCCCTGCTCTGCTCCAGCCACATCTTGCTCTTCCCCTTTGTTAACAAAATTTATGAGGTTAAGAAATCAAGATCATTTTTTTTTTTCCCCTTTAGGAACTAAGGAGAGAGTTCATTGGTGATGTAAGTTGTGAAGAGTGGCAGCAGTATATTTACGGAGCAAAGCAGTCTTCTGCAGTTGAAAACAGGAGGACTGGGTTATACTTCTTATGCATTAGGAGCAACTTTCATAAGCAGAGAGACATGAGAGAATCAATATACCCTTTCTTCTCTCCCAGTGAAGGGCTGAAGAGAAAGTGCCCTGCAATTTGCCCTCCTTCAGCAGGGTCTGGAAGATCACCCTTAGCTCAGAGCATGGCTCTCCACAGGGGACCCAGGGAAATGAGAGAGAACAACAGTATTGCAAGAAGTTGGCAAAAGGCTGCAGCTGAATTTAGAAACCAAGAAACAGTCAAGTAAGCCTTTTCTTCTGCTGTACAATCAGAAATATATACATTATGTGGATTTCAAAGAACAAAATCCAGTTACTGTTGCACTGAATTATACTGCTCTTTTGGCTTCCCTACTGATCGTAGCCAACGAGGGTTTTAAAAGTATGAATGTCAAAACGTCAACCACACCGCTCCTTTCCACCTAAGTTGTAGCTCTTGTTTACATAAGCAAAATGCAGCCAAGGGTTTGAAAGGCCTGTCAGGGTAGCTGAATGGAGTATGAATCATTTTGCTGGGCACTGCTTTAAATGCTGCTTCTTCCTTCCTCCTCATTCTCGGAGGTCAGACAAACAGCACCAGAAACTGCATCTGAAGTTCTTCCCTGCATGACAAAAGACAGGGATCTTTCTATGAAGGCCTTGGACAACTGTGATCATAAGCTGAAAGCAGAAAGCGCACCTTGGAGCTAACCATACATACCCATCTGCTTCTTGTCAAGTGTCTTCTTCTCCTCCTCCCTCATCTTTTAACATTTCTTTGTGTTTGAATCCGTGTAAATTTTTACCATCAGGAGGTATGAAATAATGTTTACATAATCTAAGGCAAACAGCATTGATAGAAGACTGTGAAACCTTCCACAATACTTTCTGCTTACTAATTAGCACCGAACATTGCGTCTTGCACTACACAGTTTACTCTCCAGGGAGCCAATTTCTATCCATCGGTCTCTGCATGGGCAACTCTGCAACCCATGTCTTTCAGGATAATGAAAAAAAAGTGCAGGTTTCTGCCTCACAGCAGTCACGCTACTGGAGCCGGCTGAACTACACATCTGCAGTGGCAGCGCACTCCAAAATAACAAGACGATCCAAAATGGCATCTGAACCTGCACATTTAATTATCTTTCAAGAAGTAACTACATCTGTTCTGCAGGCAACACGCAGCTGTGGCATACACACACATTTTTTCACACTTCTCACAGACTAATATACAGAAAGCATCAGGCTGTAACGTCCCTCAAGTATCAGAGTGCAGAAATCCTGGCAAGTTCAACTACTGTGAATAGCAAGATGCTCATTTAAACAAGAGGAGAGGCATTTTTATCACGTGAAGTGGAAAGCGGTAAACGTAACCTGAAGGAAAGACAGAGACGCAACTCCAAGCGCTGTGCTCAGGCACCTAAAACACACAAGAGATCTGACAGCTGAAGGCAGAGCACTTTCCAGTCTCACAGAAAAAAGCAGAACGAGGTGTAATGGCTGGAGGATGCTGCTGGACAAACCGGCCTCCAACACGTGAAATATTTTCCTAGCAGTGATGATAAATACTGGAAGGTTTCCCCGGAGAAGTCAGGCGCTGCCACTTGAAAACACGTGAAGGTACAGGGGGCTTTCGTTTAGCTTCTGTGAGACCCACTATGGATGATTACAGAGCTCCCCTCTGGCCTGACGCTCCATGAATCTGCGAAGTTTACAGCTTCATCCTGTGGGGCCAAGGCACTTTGGCTCCAAACCAGCAACGCACTTACGTGCTCGCTGCGACGAAAGCTCGCTTCCTTTACTGGAGCGGGGCCAGCGCAACCAACCTCCTGCAGGACAGCCCCAACTATCGTTGGCCACCTCAGCGTTTGACCACTTTGGGGTTTCTCTGCTGCAGCAGCAACCAGAAGCTTCCAACAGCAGGGGCCTGGAAACATGAAACTTCAAAAGCAGCGGGATACCTTCAGTTTTTGCTTACTTGGCATCTCTTTTGCTGAGGTAAAAGGGGGTGAAAATGCCAGTTTAGAGTTTTTTATTATGGTTTCACTCAGCAATAATTTAATTCAGATCAGGAAAGACAAATCGAGGCAAGTTACTCTAGGAAGAGGAGCAAATAAAAAATGATGCCTTTCTCCAAAGATAAACTTAATGTAATTACTTACTTGAAAAAAAGGATTAAATCAATGCCTCGTGGTTAGAAATAGATGTGTGCTGGAAGAACCTAACTTGAACTATTCTGAGTAGCAGACTGGAAAGGATGTGAGGCATTAGGTAGGTTCAAACATAAATACATATATACACAAACATATATACCTGTATTTCTGCACACATTCAAAAAAATCATTAATAAAAATTAATTGGAATACAGATAAAGGATCCTGAAAAAGCCTTCAGTTCAAAAAAGGGGTGGGAGACAGAATTTTTATGAATTAGAGGCCAATCTGGCAACAAACAATCCAAAGCCCATCTGGCCTAATTCGAAATGGTTTAATGAAATTATTTAATTAAATTATTTAATTAAATTCATTAAAAACTTCTACCTTTCCTCCTTAAACTCAGCATGACATCCTTTGAAGCTGTCACTTACTTTCAGGTTGTAACCGTCAGTTAATTTCTGGTGGTCCAGATCTCTTGCCAAGAATTTCTTTCATGTATCTATAACCTTTTCCTACCTTTTTTCTTGCCCCAGTACCTTACATAATTCAAAAGAGTTATTTAGATTGTTCAAAATACTGCTGTTTGTCGCTAGTGAGGGTTCCTCCCTCCCTTTTTTTTTTTGTAAAGTGAGCGGCTAACTGGTAGGTTATTATGAGCTTGCTTTACCCACAGCAAGAAACGCTTTGCCCTTGATAAAATACAATGAGATGTACCATGTATTTTCAAGGCTGGACAAAATTATGGTCTAGGATATTTTAAGCTAAGCAAATTTCCAAAATTTTATAGTTGATCTAAGATGACAGAAGTGTCTGAATTTATTTTTTAAAAAATGGAAAGAAATAAACTGTGCTTTAATGCACCTTTTAATACTTTGAACATGTGAAGCAACGCTGTTTTTTCCATTTAAGTGGAAGAAGCAGAAGTGCGATGGAAATACATCCAGTCTTTAACACCAAGTCAGAGAAAGGCTTGAGAACAAGTGGGAAATGAACATGTCTAGATTTTTGTCCATTTTCTTTCGAACGTTAGAAAAGATCTGGCTAGAAGATATTTCCAGTATCCATTCTGAACAGCTTACGCTTAATCGCCTTCATCCCATCTATACAGGAACTGTTGCCAAAACACTGATTAATTTACAAACCTGTCAGATTTGGTCTCTTGTGGCGGTGAGAGAGTTGTCCCATAACGAGTAGTGGGTGTTGTAGGGGCACTCACACCAGCGTAAGGTCGTGGAGAAGAGTAAGAACTGCTGCCATAGCTATTGTATCTGAAGAAATGGGAAGAAAAGTAGGAGAAAGGGAGAGAGAGAGAATCCGTCAGCAAGCAGGCATGCAACAGTAAATCCTCTTGTTTAGGCAGTGATCCCATACTCCAGAATTTCTCAAACATCCAGCTTCTGAAAAAATTGCAATAATCCCAGCTTCAAAATATGCAACCTGTCATCCCATTTCAGTATCAACCATGTCACAGACGTATTTGATTCAAATAGTGAGCTATTGGTATGGAAGATAACGAGAGATTAGAGTGGCCCTCCCAAGTGACAACTGAGAGCAGGAATACTTCAACTACTGCTCAGTTACTCAAATTTATTAGGTGTTTTGAGAGCCGATATCCAGCCATTAGAAAAGCGACCAAATCAGTCCATGTCAGCAGTATTCGTATCTAGTAAAATTAAGGAAAACAGCAGCATTCCTGAGTCATGATGACCTGAACATGGACATCCATGATTTGCGAACATTTGTGTTATAAATGAAAAGCATCCCCATTCTTCTCAATTAAAGCAGGCAGTATTTTCTTTCCCGTCCCCCAATAAAAGTTGTAGCTTCTATGCCATTTCTTACAATGTCTGTAAAAAATCATCACCACGGTTAAAAAGACATGTCTCCAAAAGCATGGCTTCAGGAATTTCCCCCAGCCATTCCCTCCATTAAAAAAAAAAACAACCCTAAACCTGCTTGACTTCAATGTGAGCTCACTGATCAAAGACCCATCGCTTCCAGGACTCCTGGAATGGCCACTCCGCAGAGTCCCTTGTATCAATGTTTAAACTCTGGCTCCCGTGCCTAATAGGAAAGACAGTTGTGTTGCTTTGCTGCACTTTTTTACCGCTGTACTCAAACAGCATGTCAAGGATAGATTCCTGATTTGGAAAAATGTTAACATTTCTGTTCACAGATGATACCATTTTCCCCACGTGGAAAGTGTATGATGCTCTACAGGTTAGTACTCCACAAGTCCAAATCATCCAAAAACTCAATTCGGGAAAAAAGGCAACATTATTTTCCGTATTGTAATTCATAACGTACGATACACTCTCCTTCACTGTATCTTTTCTCTGCTGCTTCTTCTCCCACACACATCAGCACGCAGTAATTTCACTCAGCAATTTTATTTGAAAAGGCTGGTTGGTTTCCTTCAGCTCCATTTAGCACACTCATCTAGCCACGCAAAATTTCATTCAAACTTCAGGCTTCTCCCCTTAGGGTACAACAGCATTGCTGCCTGCCAATGCCCATGTTAGAATAGATTTCAGTTAGTGGCTGTTATGATGGAAGGGATCATACTTTAGAGAATGGGCCCCGTTTGGCAACAATCCAGGCGTATGTTTTAGAAAACAAAACACCACCGCCATCTATTTTTGAGAACCTGTGCTGATTGCCCAGGAACAGGGGAATAATTTTGGAAAAAAAAATGTGAACACGCACGTTTCTGAGCTACAAAAGGAATTTTGCAGAACAGGAGATAATTGCCTTGCTGGCATTCCTACCCTAGAAGAAAACTAACTAGAAACTGGAGACAGTGGCCCAGTGAAGGGCTGTGTAGCTGGGCACTGTGGGGCTTCCCTGGTAGCACAGTCCTGGCATGGGTTGTCTCTCCGACACGCTCAGCTCAGAACATGTTCTGCCTGTGTCTGTACTGAGTGAGTGATGAGAAAACTCCGTAGTCCTGAGAATAACTCAGAGATCATTTGGTATTAACAGAAACCTCAATTTCCATTTCAGTCAACTGAAAGGAAACCTTCTTATCAACCATTGCATTTGCTTTTCTTCTCCTCCACCCCATGGAAAAGCTGACACAGCGCAGTATCCTCTTTCAGACCAAGGAATTTCAATTAGTCCAAAGAGAACTCTCATTAAAATGGAGAGAATACACCTTCCATGGACTCAGACCTTCAAGTATTAACAAAATCAAATGCAGAGGGACCGGCCTGGAAACAGCATCCCTGTAAATCAAATCTAGAGGGAGAGAGAGATGCTGGAGGAGCAACCAGGCAAAAGCAGCATACCAGAGTCAGTCTGTACCCTGTACACAATGTTTACCTCTCTAACCTACCCCCGGGAGTGGCTATTACTTCCATTTTCCCTTTGTTCACACACCAATGCAGATGCAATGGCCTTGTTCCAGAAGCCTTCACTCTGAAGAAACCCCAGATATCCCGACATTTACCTCTTTTGTGAACACATTACTGCCCAAACCGTGCAAGCTTTGCCCTCCTTTTTCTCCAAATAAACCCAGCACAATCCTCCCCCACGCCACGTCCTTGATCCTACGTGGTAACTAGAAGCACAAGGATGGTCAGAGGAAAACACTGCAGAAATACTAAATATGGCAGCAGCAGCAGGTATTTAGGAATCTACTCTCTAAAAAGTGTAACTCTAAATAGCAACAGCCATGAGACAGCAACACATGAGTGTGAGAGGCCTTAGCGAAAATTGCACCTATGCAGGAAAAAAATAAATTCAGGGGAAACCCAGCGTTTAAGCTACAGGCAAGGAAAGATGTGCGAACTAAGTCCCTTTTCAATAGCTGCTTGGACTTACAGGCTTTTCAGTGAAACGAAAAAGCAACAAAAACCACCCACCTATTATAAGAGAAAGATTGAAAATTAAAAGGATCAAAGGAATCAAAATATTTGTTCACATGTAGAAATTCAGAAGGACTGCTGGCAAAAGAAAGAAATAAACATGTTCACAGTACACATTAGGTTTTCAGCACCTAATTTGAAGAACACTGGCCATTGGGAAAGACAGCTAAAAATCAGAAGGTGATTCTCTAGCATTGTTTTCAGTGCTACCTACTGTCAATCTGTTTTACTTGAAAACAGATTGAGACAAAACCAGTTATTTTTGTTTTCAAATGGGTGTGATGGGGAAATTAAAAATTAAAAGTAAAAAACTAAGCGAAATGCATGAGGAGCAACTGAACTGACCAAATGTTGTGGACAGAAAACTGTCTATTCTGAGTGCTATATTCTCTTTATAGGTTTTAATCCATTTCTCTTATTACAAGCTCAAGTTGAAATTGCACATGACAGGGATACGCACTGTAAACTAACAGCAAATTCGGGATTTGGCAGTTCAGTCTTTGAAGCCAGGATTTCATCCCTGTGTTCCAAGCGCTGATCTGATCTCTCTTGGTTTTCTAGCAGAAGAGCTCCATTAATTTTCATGAAATCATGTCTGCAAATTACATTGTTGTAAATGAGAGCAAAATGGTGCTCCTCTCTGTGATCTCCCAAATCACAGGTTATTTATCTACTGCTGTATAGAGGAGGCCAGGATACTTATTAACCATAGACCCTGAAGAGGAGTGAGATGAAATGAAGGCAAAAAAGGCAAGCAGAGAATATCAATCAAATCAAAATACAGGCTACAGGACTAAAACTAAGACAGCATATTCTGGAAATAACACAATACAGAGTGCATTATTACAACTATAAAACTCTAGAAAGCTGTTATTCATTTATCTAAAAATTACTGTCAGCTATATAACAACTACCTGTTTTCCCTCATCACCTCTGCTTCCTTTTCTTTCACAGATGCTGGAGACTCTTCAAAGTCGTATGAGAAGAGGTGAAAAGGAGTATGTGGTACATAAGGCAATTTCTCCACTGTTGGAGATGCCTTTGGAGTAATGGATGCTGATGAATTTTGGGAAGAGCTTAGCAATGCTGCCGCAGGTGAAGACGGTGATGAAAGGACAGAATTATGATGAGAGACAGATGAGTCAGGCACAGAAGAGGAGCTGCTGGAAGAGCTCTTTTCTCTAGAGCAGGAGAGAGGCCTCTCAGCTGGAGAAATGGCACTGGAGACAGCTGAAGAATCAGAGCACCATGAAAGGTTTTCATTCACAGCCTCCTGTGCACCTGAGACCACACTGCAGGAGGAAAACATCGTAAGAAAGGAAAGGGAAGGAGAGAAAAATAGGGAAAAGAGAGATCAATAGATAGTACCACTTGGAGGAAAAAAAAAGTCAAGGAGAGTCAGATAAACAAAAACTTCCCAAATTTAGACCATATCACCTCTTTTTAAAGGAAGTAAGAGAAGTCACATCTTTGTACCCCAGTGGAATTCTTCTTGGGGTTGGAAATACTGAGGAATGGAAGCAAACCACCTTACAGGAAGGGAACCCACAGGCTTCAGAACTAATTTTCATGAACCTTTTCACAACCATTTTCTGAACAATTTTCAAGACTTTCAAGTTAGTTCGTAAGCATTGTCAGAGCAGTACAAAGCAATCTCTACACACTGGATAACTTGGTCTACAGAGCATAGATGCTTCAAGATACTGTCTCTGGAAGACCAGATATCCAATTATCATCGTCCCTGGTGATCTGGTATTTTTACTAAAAACACTCATTCACAAAAGAGGAAAATAAAAAAAACTCAATCAGCACTGTTCTGTCAAAATTAAGGTTTAGAATTATTTCAAAAGCAACACCTTACCAGATCATTAGTCTAGGTATGAAGGCACTGATTTTTCTGAGTGTCAGAATCCCATGTTGGTGTTAGACAGAGACTTGCAGGGCTGCACCAAGTGCAACAGAAAACACATCTGCTTTGCTCTAGTGAAGACAGGTGTTGGTGAGTGACAGAAGCAGCAAGGCAGGTGAAAAGCAATGGGATCTGCACTCCAGGATATCTGCTTTCAGTAGTATCTCCAGCATAAACACTGTGCATGGGCTTCGGGCTGGATCACTCCACAGGTGGCTGATTTCATTCTCCTGAGACCACCTCTGCAACTCACCTGCAGGCATGCAAGGCATGGCACTTCTCTGAGGAGTGCGAGTTTGGCACTGAATACGCAACAAAACCATAATATGTGTTATACTGTTAGCGTATTATGAAGTTAATCATCAGGTATATACCGGGTAATCGTTCTCACAACAGAAGCACAGTGGGCAATGTGGAAACCTTCATCTATTGCACTGTGATGTGCATGACAGGAGTCACTGAAGCCAGGCTGGTCTAACCCTTTCTGACAGCATCAAACATGAACGGCCAGAGTACAGATCATTTGTGCTAAGCTACAGTGACAGTGAAAAGGGGCATGTACAAAAGTCATGGGAGTAGCACCCATTTTTCTCAAAGTGACTATTATTTTCAAAGATCTATGACCTAATAGCATATCACGCCTTTACATGGCTCTTCCTCATTTCTTCAAAAGTGTTTTAGTATATTCACGCAATTTACTAATAACTTGTGTCTTTGCTTTGACTTTTAAGAATTGGATTTGAGGAAATTATCACTTAATTGTGAAATTTCAGGCAGCCATTGGCAAGATTTGCAGACTGAAAGATATTAATAACAACAGTACAGTATTTTCTTTGGAATTCACATATTAAACAGTTTCATTTCTTCCTTCCGTGCTGTATAGCGTCTGCATGAATGTGGTTTATTAAAAAAAAATAATCCAATCTCATTTGCCGAGTTGCAAAGCCAAGCAACTTAACCTAAATCAAATGGCTGTCTGGAAGAAAGAACATATTTTCTTTCTTCCAATTTATTAGGGTAAAGTTGCCAGATCCCAAATTCATATATCCCTCAGACATAAGGGGAAAATTTTACATGAGAATATTGTTTTGATAGGTGGTTTGTTTATATCCACAGATGGGCATATATGTATAAAAAGACATGTATCAGCTTTGTCTCTGAGTAGTTCTTTCCTGTTAAAACATGAACAAATTTGATAGAAATCATAGACAGTATTCAAAAAAATGTCAGTCTTCATAGCAACAGATACTACTAGTAAGATTGTATCATGACAATAGGGATTAAAGCCTAAGAAACCAAGCAACATCCTCAGCGAAGTGCTGCAATGCTTCACCATTGCCTTAAGTAAAAAGAAAAACCTAAGCCATGCTTTAAAGTCACACTTTCTGCCAAATCTTCTAAGATTTGTGAGTGTCACTCATTTTGTACAAAGGCAGTGAGTGCAGACAGTTCTTAGTGCACTAAGCCTGTACAATTAAACATATTTCCATTAACACACACCCTAACAAAGCTTTTAAATGCAAAAATATTTCCTTAGGAGGTGGCTTTAACAGAGGATCTAGGAATGTGAGTGAAAAGGTGGATGCTGCTGCATAGCCGGGTGGTGAGTTCATGCCAGAGCCTGAGGAAAAGGTGGAGGGACCACGCTGAATCCCGGTACCTGGCTTTGACCTGCCTACTGGCCTCTTCCTCCCCCTCATCCTCAGTATTGGGCTCTGTGACTGGCTGTTCTTCTTCCTCCTCTTCATACTCTTCCTCCTCTCTGAGGTCAGACCAAGGAAAGAGGCATGCAGTGGATGGAAAGAGAGAAGGTGGAAAAGAAAGTGACGTGAGTCCCCAGAAAAAGAAACGCAATGAAGTTAGAAATGGAAGGAGAACACTGCGGGGGTAGGGGGAAGAGTTATGGCCTCACTATGTTAGACAAACAGCCACCCAGAACTTCCCACGAAGTATGTGTTGGCACAGGGGAAGCTACCAATACAAAAATTTATCCTCTCCCCTATTTATTTTTTTTTAACAACTGATTTTTAAGACCCCAAAGATGCCATTTTTTTTCTCAGCTTGGCTTTCCATCTGCTGCTGCCCTACCTGCAGAGGCATTCATGGAAAAGATCCATGACAATACCAATGTTCAACTCGTTAGTCATTAAGCTGTGTCTGTTTGGCTGAAAGGACTGTACACGCTGTGCTGGCACGGGACAGCTGGCACTGGACATCACACTTTCTAAATTAACGCAAATAAAACATTCCTGTTAAGCAGCCGATAGCTCCACTGGAAAATAGCACAAAGTGAACCATCAAGTTAGAAATAACAGAGAAACCAAAGCAGTTCAGGACTATTTGCAAATAGCAATATTTAACTTATCGTATGCCAGTACATGAATTATTTCAGTAAAGAGTCATTAGTACGGTCAAAGCAGGCTTTGGCTCAGCAGTAATTCTGGCAGAGGAGAACTGTAAGTCACGCATAAAGCCTCCACAACCTACAAACTACATAAGTAAAAAAGAAAACTATATTAAACAAAACAAAAAAGGCTACATTGTCTGCCTCCTCTCCCTTCCATTTATGTCCTTCCTGCCCAAATCAACAGACTTGTGGAAGACTTAGAAAATATTCTCTCTTTGGACTTCTTTTTCATTTGCAGTTGATCCAGTTCTCCACTTCATTTAATGACGAATACTATTAGGTTATGGTCCATGCAAAAAGTAAAACATACAAACAGTAATAAAGTTTGTAAGACACACATATTCCTTGCATATTCCTGAAAGCCGGTTTTCTATTCTTTAATTCTGAAGTGATGCTTTGTGCATTTTTTTCCATTTAGAATTAGTTTCCATGTCATAAGAATAATGAATATTTACAATGTGAGATCATGAACTCATCGAGTGCAATGGACAAGGTCAATCCAAAATTTGTTGCATTTGTATGGAGCTAGTTATAGAATAATCAGGAAAATGGCAGCACCTGGAACTTTTCCAATATTCTGGCAAACATCTACAAGGTAGACACTTTCATCCATTCCTAAGGTATCACAGTGACACAACCATCTCAGTTGACATCTCTCCATCTCCTTGTCTTCTCCACAAACACATATCTCCCCTACAGAGACACCTCTGGACTTCCACACACGTATACATTCCTATACTAAAAAAAAACAAACAACCCAACCCCAAAAAAGGAGTTGACTAGGGAGCACTCATATCACCCCTTCTCCTTGCTAGCGAGCAGCTCAATACTAGCTTTGCTATTATCTCCTGTTAAGTGCAAATGTCTGCATCTGCCTGTCCCACAGCAATCACATTTGCGAAGTTACTCATGAAGCTCTGTGAGATCATGGTTCTCTGATCAGAGCACAATGCATCCTATAATGCTGATAGGATGGCTATTGCTAAAACGAACAAGAGTGGCCTCGTTACTAATGTTTTAAGCTCCAGATCAATGACAGCAAATTCCTTGCTCTCCTCAACTGTCTCAAAAGGCCCTAAATTGTAACTGAAATACTCATTGGATATGGTGGATCTCATAAATTTGAAAGGGTTCTTTGAGAGTTTATTTCACACGAGTGCATGGTAGTAAGGACAGGAGTTTATATAATATGGGTTGAACTGGGAACCACCGGAGCTTTACTTGCACTAAATGGAAAGAAAAGGTGAGAAGAAAAAAGTGTCTAGAACCCAGAGGGTTAGCTCGTGGTTAGGGATCACTTCTTAACACAGGATCATCAGGCCCCTAAGCTAACATCTGCCAGATGAGTGACACAGCCTGGGTATTTTCCTTGAGATTTTATCACCCTGTCTTTACATCTTGGGTTTATAACCCCAAACCTACTGTTTAAAGCCTCGATACCAAGTCTTTCATTTACAAGAAGTGAAAGGTGATCTGTTCCCCACCATTCAGAGTTCTTGTATTCAGTATTTACCAGAATAGGATATTTAGTTGGTACCTAGAGGCCCAAAACTACTTTCACCCTACAGCTTATTTCCCTAGAGCTAGCCGAAGTTTGGAAGCAAATAAGGACTATTCTAATTTTAGGCACCCATTTTTGAAAATGCTGAGCTTCTGTGTAGAAAGTGTACAATTGTCAAGTGAACTATATATTAAATATTACAGGTGAGCAGTAGTCACTTAAAATAGTCATTTGGGCTTCATACTGGGTTTCATACTGCTTTGCAAAGCATCATTCTAATCCAATATTGGGAAAATCTGATTCCCATACAAATAGCTTAAGTATAAATATGAAAATACCCTAAATTAAGCCTATATATAATAGCCCTCATAAAATTAGGATATGTGACCAGTCCCTCACAAAAAATTTACTGCATCTTACCCCGGAAGGATTAGTTGTCTGCAAAAAAATCCTGAAAACCAAGCAGCTTTTAGAATTACAACAGAGATGTCCATATAAGCTCAGGTTAACAGCTGAAAAACAAACCAGGAATCAGAACTATGATATCTCAATTGCCAGAGCCATCAATGATATTTGCCATAAGCACTTGCATTTACTTAAAAATTTGATTAAAATAGAAATAGTTCTTCAGAATATATCTAAGATAGCTATGCTTAAAGGACCTTAGCTTTTTACATACATGCTTCTTTCAGGTAAGCTATGCAATATGGCCATGTGCTGAAGGCTAAGTTATAAAACACGGAATTAATTTCATCTTTAAGTCAGTTACTGTGACATTATCACATAAAGACCAGTTTTGAACCTGTAAGGTTTTGATTTCAGTCTATAGGTAGAGACACAGTCCTGCCTACAACAACAAAGAGAACTTAGACCAGGAGGCGATACGGCCTACATGGAGCTGAAGGGAATGATTAGTCCCTGTCCTCTTTCATGATGGGTTGTGAGCTATTAATAATGTCACATGAAGGAAATACTTCTGTCTGCTGTGAAGTTTATCTGGAATTTTGTTTTGGGAAGCAAAAAGTCAAGAGCCCTCTTCTTAGATGTTATGACTTGCTGTACTCTAAAGGAGCAGATCAAGAGGAACAGCCCCTTAATTTGTATATTATTTGAGAATATCGTCTTCGAAAAGAACTATGCATGTACAGCAACCTTGCGTGGCACACTTGTTTCTACAGTTCATAATCAGACATTAACACATCCGTAATGAGTATTGTTTCCACGCTGAATATTTTGTTAGAAGTCAATCTCGTATTGATTATTGCACACATATCTGAACTGTGGATACCAGAAAAGCAAACTGAATTAATAGGATGAGCTCTAAGAAGCGAGCATATGCAAATCATACACCCCCCCATCTGCTCAGCGCTCACAGAGCGCAGCAGGCAGGTCTCACACGGCCATCAGAGCAGTTCGCTTGGTGGACTGGCATTCCCAAGGTTGCTGACAGCCGACAGCAGAGCCTGCTCCACAAGAGTCAGATGCTGAGATCTGAGATGGACAAAATCACGAAAATAACTTTTTTACTCCTGACCTAAAAAGAGGACCTCTATAATCACCTGACTCAGCTTTTCTTACAACAGAGGCTGCAAGTTAACTGACGTCTTTGCTCTCATCCAGCTGTCTAGTACCAGTAAAGTGGCTCTGTGGGCCCATCATCAAACCTTAGTTGGTGGATTAATTTTAGAGATACCAGCCAGGTGATTCTCCTGTCAGGCCAAGGACTCTTTCCACAAATCTCTGACTTCCAGATCAAAAGCTTAGAAGAAGCTTTGATCGGAAAGGTCTCTTCTTCTGCTAATATTAACTCCAGGAGGACAGCAGGTACCTGGCAACTGTCTGGAAAAGCCAGGTGAAGGAGCTGGCTCTGCCCATGTCGGCTGCAGAGATAGCTGGTGGTGCGTGTGGAGGTGGGCACGCTCCCTAGCCTGCACGAGCCAAGTTTGGTTGAGGGAAATTTGCACACTGGAAATAAGCGCGTGCTTAGGAGAGATGCTCAATGCTTGGGAAGTCCTCTTTCAGCAACTAAACTCACAGTTTCAGACTCCTGGACTATCCCCAGAAAGTGGATCAGATTCCGATCAGGGGAGAGGGGTGAGCTCACTGGTAGGAATCAAGTGTGCCGTTCTCTCAACCAAAGCAACAGTTGCAGTTGTTTCTCAGTATTGCTAAAGAATAGATACTCGGCCCACGAAAACAGGCAGTACTTGCTAGCTAAATCTTTTGAAAAGGTAGAAAAGGAAAATTTCCACTTGACTATTTATTAAAACAGGAAAACACCAACTACAGACAGATGACATTCTTGTAAAGCTAAGAACAGACAGACGGATGCTCAAAGAAAACAGCAGATTTGCGAATTCAACCCCTTCAGGGTTATGTGTTCATTTCTGTGTGCAATGGAGAGGGGATAATGTGCAAAATCTCACTTTCCGTTCCATAAATACATGCAAATTCGGTGTCAATGCAACAGTAGAATTAAATAAAGAAAAATTATTCATAGGGAAGTTTTCAATTAAATTAGTGCAGAAGCCAACATGTTTTCCAGTAGCACAGAGGAACCTATCCTGCTCAACAAAAGGCAAATACTTATCCTGAGCTGGGCAGGAAGGACTTCAGCTAATGCTGAAGGATCAGATATATTCAGCTAACCTTAAAGCTATTTCTGGCTTACTTCAGTTCCATGATAACAGCACTGAATTAGAAGTTATTTTAACAAAAGCTTTATAGCAGTGAAAACAAATTTCAAAACAATCACTGTGTTGATTTTCATCTTTAAAACGGATTACTGCTACAGGCTAACACCCCCACCAAACAAACGAATTAAAACCAAAACCCCCACAAATCTTTATAAA